CCGACAAGGATCGCTACACAACCTCAAATTATTACTGGCAAAGGACGCGAACTTTCTGACGAATCGGACGAAAACACTCCTCTTGCTAAACGCAATCGTTCTGGAAATCGGACAAACAAACACAAGAAACATCGCCCCAAGAAACCTTAATGGACTCGGTATGTTTTGTTTACTTTAAATCCTGTTATTTGCCAGAGTTCTCTTTTTCCTTTTCCGTATAATTCAGACTTAATTTATCTACTTTAAATGTCCGTGGTTTTGGTGCTGACAGTAAGCAGCAATTTATTTTTGACTTCGCTCGTAATTCTCACGCGGAGTTTGTTTTTTTGCAAGAAACGCTTGCTTCAAATCCTGATGTGATTAAAAATTTGCGATCTAAGTGGCGAGGCCCTAGTTTTTCGTCTCCTGCAATTGGGAAACAGGGCGGTGTGACGGTCTGCTGACCCAACAGATCCCCCCCCCTGGGAGGCAACAGGCCACGGGGACTGGGAAATCAGTTCCAGAGAAGAAGTCACTGACGCAGACGAGCTCAACTCCCCCTCCGTCAGAGTCCCCCTCGAGAGAAGGAGTCCCCCAAGAGAGAAGAGGTCCCCCGGAAGAGAAGTCCCCCCCGAAGGAGAAGTCCCCCGAGAGAGATGGATCAGTCCTCCCGGAAGCGAAGGAGCAGTCACCCCGAAGGAGAAGGTAAAGATTAACCCTTTAAGCCCCAATATACATGTACAAATTCTCCAAACTGATCTCTACACATTTCCTTAAAGAATGAGTTGAGAGAATTTGATAAAATATCGAAGCCTTTTCTCTTAGGTGATCATTTTATTAAGTCTCATAACCTCATCTCTTGACATTGTATGGATATTGTTAAGAGAAAATTGATGTTGGTCACTATTGGGACTTAAAGGGTTAAAGAAAAGTCTTCTAAGAAGCATTCGCGCGAGTCTTCGCGTGACCGTGAACGGGACCAGGATCGGGAGCGAGACCGTCGTCGGGATCGCGATCGAGATCGCGACCGGGATCGGCCTCGGGATCGCGACCGTGACCGCGAGTACGACCGCGATCGAGAGTGTTATCGCCACTCTCGTTCTTACCGTGATTATTATCCCAGCCATGGACGCTCCGATCACAGTTCTGATGAGGAAGAGGATTGGAAAGTAGTAGATAGAAGGAAGTACAAGAGCCGGAGTCGCAGCCATAGTAGCGATAGGGGTTAATTTATCCTTTTTTCCCTATTTCAACATGGCGCTTAAGCTTCTCAGTCTAAATGTCCGGGGCGTAGCCTCGGTTCGCAAACGTGATTATTTCCTTCATGAACTTGAACGTTTAGATTATGATGTTTATTTTCTTCAGGAGACACATGTCTCTTGTAAGAGATCGGCCGATCTATTCGCGAACGCGTGGAAAGGTCAGTGTTTATGGTCTTTTGGTTTAGGTAAGTCTGCGGGGGTAGCGATTCCCTTTTCTCCTAATTTTTCGGGGAAAATAATTCGTTATCTGCACGACTTTGACGGTAGAATTTTAAGCGTCCTTGTTGAAATAGACTCTGTTAAATTAATCTAGTCTGTCTTTATGCTCCAAACACCGTTTCTGATCGTAGAGTTTTGTTTGAAAATGTTCACGCCTTTTTCTTGTCTCGAGGATCTTTAGTTGTAGGTGGGGATTTTAATTGCATTGACTCTGATATTGACAGGATGAATATTAAATCGGACTTTAGTGCGGACAAGCGAGTCTTGTCTGCTCTGAAGACCGATTTCTGCCTTGTCGATGTCTGGCGCAAAAGGAATCCTTCTGTAATCTCTTATACCTGGGCAAACAGTGACTTCTCTCAAGCTTCTAGATTAGATCGTTTTTTAATTTCTCGATCCTTATTTTCTCTAGTTCGTTCAAATCAATGTTTTCCTTGTTCGCTTTCCGATCACGATTATGTAGATTTAGTTTTGTCCCCGTGCAATGGTAACCCCTGTGGGAGCGGTGTTTGAAAATTTAATTGCGACCTTTTGGCTGATAGTGAATTTGTTGCTAAAATGCATGACCTCATTCTCTCTCATCATTCCCTTATTCCTAGTTTTGCTTCTTTAGGCGCTTGGTGGGAGGATTTAAAAGTTTCAATTCGGCGTGCCTGTGTGGACTTTTCTGTTCAGAAACGTAAGCGCTTAAATCGGGATCACGATTTATTAACTAAGCAGTTAATCCGGGCTAAACAGTTAGTTTTTTCTGGTGATAGCCGCTTTCTAGATACAGTTAATGACCTTGAAACTAAGCTCAGTTCTCTCATTAACAAGAGTTGTGAGGGGGTTAAGATCCGATCGCGTGCTAGGTGGTTAGAAGAGGGTTAAAAACCGACTCGTTTTTTCTTTCGTCTTGAACAGAAGCGTGCCGAGAAAAATTCTTTTTCTTCTCTTTTCGACGCTGATGGTACAGAAAGGTTTTCCCAGGCACACATTGAGCTTATCTTAGTTAATTTCTACAAATCCCTGTTCCCTAAGGACGCCCTAGGTATGCAAATTCAGGAAGAATTTATCCGTGACCTTGACACTTGCTTAACTGACTATGAGCGTGACTTGTGTGAAGGTTTGTTAACAAAGGAAGAATTATTTACTGCTTTATCAGGCCTTCAGGCGGGTAAATCGCCTGGGTCTGATGGTCTTCCGCCTGAATTTTATTCCGCTTTCTAGGACGACCTTAGTGATTCTCTGCTCTCGGTTCTTAATGAATGTTATAACACCGGTTCGTTAAATTTAAGTCAACACGAGGCTCTCCTACGTTTGCTTTACAAGAAGGATGATCGACGTTTGCCAAAAAATTGGCGCCCTATTTCCCTTTTGAACACTGATTATAAATTAGCTTCTACGATTATTACTGAACGTCTGAAAAAGGTTATGGACTCGATTGTACACGCGGATCAAACGGGTGGGGTCGTTGGCCGTTCTATCTTTTCAAATCTGCATTTAGTTCGTGACCTTTTGGATATGATTGATAAGACGGATGAGTGCGGTATTTTAGTTACTCTTGATCAAGAAAAAGCTTTTGACAGAGTCGATCATGCTTTTCTTATGGGGGTCTTAACTCGGTTCGGCTTTGGTCCTTCTTTTCGCCGCTGGGTTTCTATTTTCTATTCGAATGTTTTTTCCCGTATAATTTGTAATGGTCGGCTTACTGATCCTATCTTTTTAGAGCGAGGGGTGAGACAGGGGTGCCCTCTCTCCCCCCTCCTCTATGTTTTAGTTTCTGAAGTCCTGTCTACTCAGATCCGCAAATTTAAGGATATTGAAGGTTTTTCTCTGCCGGGAGCCAGGGGACTTCAATTTAAGATCTCCCAGTATGCCGACGACGCTACTAATTTTGTAAAATCGGAAAGGTCTCTCTGTCATTTATTATCCGTAGTGAACAGATATGAGAGGGGGTCTGGCGCCAAGCTTAACACGGCCAAGTCCGAGGCTATGTGGCTCGGCCGGTGGCGAGAAAATGGTGCCTCCCCCTTTGGGTGTTCATTTTAGTAATGGATTAGTTAATGTTGACGCTGATAATTGGAAATCTAAGCTTGATAAGTTAAAACAATCGTTAGGTTTGTGGTCCCAGAGAGATCTTTCCTTTATAGGACGCGGCATGATCGTTAACTTTCTCGGGGCAAGTAGGTTTTGGCATGTTTCCAAGGTCCTCCTCCCCCGACTTGGGTTTGTGATTATTTTAAGCGGGCTGTGTGGCCCTTTGTTTGGAAATCAAAGTCGGAAATGGTTAGTCGTCAGCGATGTTGTTTACCCGCCTCCTCTGGGGGCTTAAATATTGTTGATTTTCAAACTAAGTGTGCCAGTTTGCGCGTGTCCGGTTTAAAGTCTTATCGTGATGAATTCGGCAGGTGTAAATGGCATTACTTGGCGCGTTATTTTTTAGGGACTCGATTAGCTAAACTGGATAAGCGCCTTGATTTTTCTTCTAACGTGGTTCCCCTCTCGGGGACGCCTTCTAATTTTTATCGTACTTGTTTGGGTATTTTGACTTCTATTCATACTAAGCATGGTTCCTTACCCGATGATTTTTCTTGTAAGAATATTTACAACCTTCTTTTAGAGCTGCCGGCAGTCTCGCCGCGGTCCGCTGGTTTTTGGGTGTCTGCTGTTGGGCGCCCCATTAACCGCTGGGCCTCGGTGTGGAGTAAATCTCGGCTAAAGCTCGTTGACAACAAAAAGAGCGATCTGATATGGCTTATCTTACATCGTGCTGTTAAAGTACGCTACTCCCTTAAGGTGTGGGGCTATAAGGTTAAGTCAGATAAATGTGCTCTCTGTTCAAAGCCCGAAACAATTAAGCACTGTTTTTTCGCGTGTCCAAGGTCGCGTAGGGTCTGGGGCTTTTTCGCGCCCTTTTTGACTAGGCTTGAGGGTTCTACTTTTTCGCTCTCCGTTTCTTCTGTCCTCCACCCTTTCTCTGATTCCCAGTCTTCCGCCCGAGTTTCCCTTTCCTGTTATCTTAAGGCGACTGTGCTGTACTGGATCTGGCATGCTAGGAACCTAGCTACCTTTCGTAATGCTGTTTTATCATCGGCAAAAATCGTGGCTAATATTAAGAGGGATAGCTCGCTTCGTATTCTTGCATCCCGTAGAGACGAGCAGGCTAATTTTTGGGCTTTGGATAATATTCTATGTTCGCTTCGCGATAAGTCTATTAGTTTCTTCTCGTAGTTTTGTACTTTGTATTCGATTTGTAAATAGTAATCCTCTACCCGATTTGTAAATAGTAGACTTTTGTACATAGTGATTGGTCAGAAAATAAATGGCCCAGCTTCCTGGGCTTTTATATTCTTAAAAAAAAAAATCTGTTCTTATTGGTCACATTTTCGGTTTCTCCGCCGAAAACATGAATATTCCCTCCCAGTACGCTTGGATCGCTTCCCTTTTTGGTGCTTTGGCTTCGTTTCTGTCCTTGGATTCCTTCTGTGAGTTTTATTTTCCCGTTGCTGTGTTTTTATCTATTTATTTTGTGTTCTTGTGACACACGTGTTGGGCAAGATGGCCGCGAGCGCCCCTCGCCGCGTCTTTGCCCACAAAAGAACTGTACGATTGATCATTGATGATGATATGCGGATCGACTCTCTTGAGGTGATCGCATCTTTACCCGAATATCAAGCCGTTATCACTGGTGTAGTACCTCTCTTCGGAGGAAAATGCATCGACATTACTTTGCGCGACCACGAGGTCGCCGCAAGACTAGCCACGAGCGGCTTTGATTATGGAGACATTCGCAAAAACCCCTACGCCTCCTTGGCGAAAAAGCTATACAAGTTTCGTGTTTTGTACCCGTGGAATTCCCAGAAAACGTTGTGTTGGAACTTTTGAAACAATATGGAGAGCTTAAAACAGAGAACCTTCGCCGCCTTTATTTTCAGGAGGAGGGGTTCTCTCATATCGAGCGTGGAATCCGCGTGGTGGAGTTCACTAAAATCAACCGGGATCTACGCCGTCGCATCGTGACTCAAGGAGTCGAAATAAATTTTAAATACACAGGACAGCCGATTACGTGCTATCGGTGTAACTCTACAGAGCACGTTGTGAGAAATTGCGACAAACAGCGTCACGTAAAACCTACCGTGAATCAACACCTCGCAGCATCCGGGGGGGAAGCCATACCTGGTCCCCCTATACCCTCGACAGCAACTGATGACACAGTTACCGAAGATATGGATCATGAAACTGAGGAGACGACCTCGGAACCCTCGCAGTCGCAGCCGCTGAGCTACACACAGGTCTCCGACCCGAATGAAGAACTTTCACCTTCCTCGGCCTCGCGTGACCTGTTTGATACCTCCCCTCAGTCAAGAAAATGAGCCCCCCTCGTCACCGGCGAAATCGGACAATTCCAAACCAAAGCAATAACGTGCTTCCTCGAGTACTGCTATCCGTGACCCGGCTTTCAAATTCCTGTATGCAGCCGCGAAACAGGCGGGTGCCGAACGCAAAAAACTGATGACCACTATCCCTGGCCCGCAATACTACCGGTGCCGTGCTCTGTACCTTCAACGCTGATTTGGAAATCTTGCCGACTTAGACCTACAGAGCCCCGCTCGCCGCAACTTGAATGACCAAGAACTTGACGCGTGGGTAGAACTTCACCGCACGATTACTCAGGACGCCCTGGCTGAACTTATAAAGATGAGCCAAGCGCTCTCCCGGGACCATCCCGGCCTTTTGAAGCCATAATTTTCACCGTCACCTTCATGCGTTATAATTTTATTTTATTTTCCTTTCTAATGGCAGTCTCGCTGGCATCCATTAACGTTAACGGCGCTGCCGAACGTCATAAGCGCCTTAAGGTTTTTAGATGCTTGCGAGCTATGCCTGTTGATTTATTTTTATTACAAGAAACTCACCTCGCGGACTTCACGCAAGGTAAGGCATGGGAGAAGGAGTGGAGGAGGGGGGGGGTCAGTGCACGTGGTCCCCCGGCTCTAACCGGTCCGCGGGTGTCGCGGTTCTTAATCACCCGAATAGTGCTGCGAAACTCGTGGATTCTAAAACCGATCTCGCGGGTAGAGTAGTCACCGCTCTCATTGATTTTCACGGGCAACGTTTTCAAATCATTAATGTTTACGGGCCTAATAAACACCGCGAACGCGAATTATTTTTTGACAATCTCTGGCGTTTTAAATACCCGAACATCGAAGCTATTGTTGTCGGGGACTTTAACTGTGTACCGGACCTCACGCTTGACAAGTGGGGAGGCGAGGACAGTTTTGGAGACAGGGCTGTCACGTAGCTACACTCTTTCACAGCGACACTCGCTCTAGAAGACTTCTTTTCCGTTTCTAACCCGCGCGGTAGGATTTTTACGTGGTTTAAGGTGGCTCGACTGGATTTTTTAGGGGGGATACCTCCCAAGTTTGAACGTCAACTACGTCGGCGTGAGTAGAGATATGGAAAAAAAGTTACCACAGCTGTATTATATAAAGATGAAACTTTCTTATGATCTGGGTTTTCTTGCAATCGGAGTCACCATAGCAACGTAATGACGCCATTACGTTTTTCATTTATCTTGGTGTTTCTCTGTACCAGGAGTTTTTTAAAGAAACCGCTTCAGGGAGTATGTACCTGTTATAATTGCCTCAGTTTTGGCAAAGATTGAACAAATTCTATGAGAGCGTTTTTGAGATATTTTGAAACGAAGTTTTAAGAATCATAAAAACGGTGAAATAGCATGCTATACACAAAATGACAAGCTTTGGAAACGCGGCTTCATCTCATAGTGGTTTGATACCATTGAAAACTGCCTTCCAAAAAACAGGGGAATTGCTCTGGGCGATCGCGAGAAAGAAGAATTTTATTAACCCGCATTCGGCTGCGTTTGTTACAGTTTGTATACGTAATTTGGTCCATACCTACAAATTTCGCATTATTCCAAAAACCGCTCGATAAATTTTTTTATAAACTTGACAATCTAGAGATCATTTGTCAATGAATACACCCTGCAAGTTTCAAGGACATTGAAAACAGGGAAGGCTTCCAAAAGAAGTAATTTTCCCCCAGATTTGAGTTTACAAGTGAGCGTCCTCATTATTCATTGGCATTGTTTTCAAGTTTCATATGCAGGTGCACAACTAGTAAAAAACAGAATTTGCATCAAAAAGGACCCTCGGTTACTTTCCGAAAAAATCTCCGGGATATGCTAATAACCGGGTAAAGAAATGAAGTAATATTACGCACTGAATGTCACGCTATAACGCTGTGTGATGCAGTCATGCCAAGGGTCTCTGAGTCCAGAAAAAGAAAAGCAGCTATTCTGCTAAACAACTAGAGGAAAAAAGTTTAGTTCAAGTGATGGTGAAACGCAGGTATGGGTCCATTCCATTTATTTAGTGTGTTTATGGTGTCTTTTCTTAATGTGGCACAGAAAAGAAACAGAAATAAAATTTCCGAGTCATTTCCTAATTTCAATATTATTTTTCGACAGAATGATGAGAAGAATCTTCCCAACCAAAACGATGATCTCCCTCACAATTACCCAGGCAGACTATTGAGAAATGAGCAGTGTAAATCTATGAGAGAATATCGCTGGAGGGACCGAGTTGATGTTGATTCCAGTGAAAATAAATCAGCAGCCTGTGTTCCCGAGGGACCGACCTTAAGATCTGCCTTGCCATATCATAAAGTTCCAAATATGAATCAGTCTTACGTGGTGAATCTGGAAATGTTAACAACCGCTTTGGAGGAATGTATGAATTGTCACGAAGGACCCCTAGATTTGAGAAACAGTTGCAACGTTCACAACGAAGGAGTGTGTCCAGTCATGAAAGTAAAATGTGCCCGGTGTGATCACATTAATATTCTTCGCCCAGCAGAACATCATGGAACGGGAACAAGAGGTCCCCCAACTTTTGACGTGAATTCCCGCGCAGGTCTAGGCGCACTTCATTCTGGAATAGGACATGCCCATTACTCGGGACTACTTTCAACGATTGGAATATCGTCTCTGTCTTCGAGTAACTTTAAAAACCGCGAGCGAGAAAGTGGAAAGGCAGTAGAAGAAGTCGCCAGGGAGTCTTGTCAACGATTTAACGATGAAGAGAAGACATTATCGTCAACTGGGGAAGAAGAAATCGTAAAAGTGGGTGTGTCGTACGACATGGGTTGGAGAAAAAGAGGCCGTAGTCATGATTCCTCGTCAGGAGTAGGAACAGCAGTAGGCTTGCAGACCGGCAAAGTCATCAGCTATGCCACTCGTAACACAATTTGTCGGGTTTGTGCTGAAGCGCAAAAAAATAATCAGGAAGCAGTCGCACATGATTGCCGCAAGAACCACCAAGGCTCTTCCAAAAGCATGGAGGCTAACGTAGCTGTCGAGTTGTTTTCTGGTGCATTGAGCAGTGGTGTAGCTTACACTACTTACGTGGGGGATGATGACAGCGCCACAGAAAGTCATCTTAAAACGTTAGTTACCTACGATATCGAGAAATGGAGTGACATAAACCATGCAAGTCGGGCGCTAGGAACGCGTTTATACGCAGCAAAAGGGAAGGTGAAAGGCCTGACACCGAATATTATATCCTACATTCAGAGGTGCTTCACTTATTGTGTTAACCAAAACAAGGGCCAGCCGTTGTTGTTAATGGAAGGATTTTCCGCCATAGTACCTCACGCATTTGGAGATCACAATAAGTGCAGCGCATCCTGGTGTGGCTACAAAAAAGATCCAAAAGGTTATAAGCACGGAGATCTTCCCGGGGGGAAGGATTTGAAGGGCGAAGACCTGCGTGCGGTGCTTGAAGATGCTCTTCGGCCATTTATGTGTGAGGAATCAGCAAAGAAGCTAGCCCCTGGTGGCTCGTCACAGCGTAATGAATGCGTTAACAGCGTGGTTGGTTCTAAAGCCCCAAAAATCAGGCACTACGGAGGGTCTGAAAGTAGCGAATTTCGAACCGCAGCGGGAATCGCCCAGTTCAACGAAGGGCATAGCTACGTCACACTTGCCGCAGAAAAAATGGGTTTGTCAGGTATGTCTGTTACAGAAGAGTATACTAGAAAAATGGAAAGCCAAAGGAAGCGGAACGCCGAAAGGAAAACGACTAAGGAGTTTAAAAGGGTAAGAAGAAACTCCCGAAAGAAAAGGAATCTAAGGAAAAATTCAGTCGAAGCACGTCAGGGAGTGACATATCAAAGCGGTATTGGATTGCAGCAAACCGACGAAAACTATGTTGTTACTAACGCAACTATGACTGATCTTAAAGCAAGTCTTACTAAGGAGGAGTTTCAAGGTTTCACAGAGCCCCTTCCTAAATTGAAAAACGTAACGATACCCGAATTACCTACCTCTCCACACAACTACCTCTTCTTGTCAATGGACTTAGAGACAACGGGGCTTGAACGGAAGTCTGAAATACTTCAAATCTCATGCTCCCCATCAAATGTGGAAACTGAGTCATTTTCTGAAAACCTTTTCCCAGAACGTCAAATTATAAATCAGGCGGCGACGCAGGTGCACGGTATTAGCGTAGACTTTCGAAATGGCCGAAAAACGTTGATGAGGAGGGGGACTGAACTGGCAGCCGTATCACAGACACAGGGTCTAACACATTTTTGCTCCTATCTTGAACACTACTCTCACTCAGCCAGGATTGTACTAATTGCACATAATGGAGATAAATTTGACTTCCCTGTTCTGATAAATGCACTTGAAAGGAACAATTTACTTAGAGTGTTTCTCTCAATCAACTTGTGGATTCTTTAAAAATTGTTTCAAAGGAAATGAAACAGAAAGATAGTCCATTGCAATCCTGCAAGAGCAAGTCCTTATCTGACCTTTATGAGTGCCTAATCAAGGAAACGTTTGACGCACATGATGCCACGGAAGATGCTGCCGCCTTATCTCGAGTGTTATTTCAGTCGCCTTTGAAAGTCACACCTGAAAAGTTCATTGAAAACTCTTCCCCGGCAACTGCATTCGTAGAAGAAATGAAGTCTTCACAGGAGGCCAGAGCACGGAAAACAACTCTGCATCAACTGCCGGTTTCTGAAGGCATGAAGGAGAAGTTGGGAAAGGCCGGACTTGACTTGACAACAATGGAGGCCGTTTACAGAAGGGGTGATACCAAAGCTCTGCTAGCAGTGATAGGTCTACCAGAAGCGTTCGAAGAAATAGTAGACAAAGCCAGTAAGCCAAGAGTAACCAAGAATGTAAAAATTCTTACAGCAATCGTAAATTTTTTTCCAAACAGGCGTTCTTAAATGAATGAATGTGTCCCACTTTCTATTTTGTAGCATGTTTTCGATAATTTAAAAGGTGCCATTAAGTAGATTATTATTACATCCACGAAAACTAAATGGCTATTGTTAT